AGTCATGAAATTTGATGCAACAAACTTGATAAATATGGAATCAAACACACATCTTTGGACTTAACAAAATCCTATTTGACAAACAGAACCCAACATTTGATTGAAAGTGACATCTCAGGGTTAATTAAATCAGAATCAATTGTAATAAAAAAGGTGTGCCACAGGGATCCATCCTAGGTCCATTACCATTTATGGTGTACACAAATGAAATACCAAATGTAGTTAATGAAGATATTGTATTATATGCAATCAGGTAAAACTTTTGGGGCTGTAGATAGGAGACTGGACTGGAAATATCAGGACGATCTCTTTGGACGACCTTCCACGAGGGATCCTTAAATGAAAGGCCAGGGAAGTAGTTGTTTTCTGATAGGTGTCAGTCCACTATCCTACTATGTAGTGAGTTGAGACTGGCCTGAACAAATTATTCTTAGATGATTTGATTTATGTGTTATTATATATGATAACCGTAACTGTTTCATAATAAATGAAAATGTGCATTCTATTGATACCAGGTGCAAGACAGACTTTCATATGCCATATTGTAAAAATGCACTGACTTACAATTCCCCCAATGTAATAGGGCTCAGATTATTTAATCTGCTACCATTTGATTCAGGAAATGATTGAATAATAAAATGAAAAATTCAATGAATGTGTTACTCTTCATTAATTGTCTTATTGTTAGTTTTACTTTTAAGCCTTTTTCTGAATAATCCTACACAATGTACCTTATTGATTGTCTTACAGGATAGTAAAAATTATTATTATTATTATATGGGGTTAACTACACGAGGATTGTGGAAAGCAAGATGTTATATTTTCGAAGTACTTACTTGCGAGTCGGTAATTTGACAGAAGAAATGCCCCGGATTGTGAAACCAGCTGATATTCACTTTTGCTTGTGTTCCCATAGTTTCCATAGTAGCGAAGGAACTTGTTACTGGTGCCGCATCGATAGATGGAACAACGGGACTAACATTCCAAGAATTGTCTCCTATACTGTTATTGTAGCGAGACGCACTCCGAGGTTTTTCATAGTTTCTTTCAAACTTACCACCCTTGATAACTTTGTCATTTCTGGAACTCGTCCTGGGGCCTCTCGGAGAATTTTTTTCCGAACCGCTTGAACTTTGTTCACTTCCATCCCTGAAAATAATTACCGTTTATGAAATGAATTGATTGTACTGTAACTTTGTATATTGACCTTTCAAAAGCATTTGACAGTGTCAGTCATGAAATTTGATGCAACAAACTTGATAAATATGGAATCAAACACACATCTTTGGACTTAACAAAATCCTATTTGACAAACAGAACCCAACATTTGATTGAAAGTGACATCTCAGGGTTAATTAAATCAGAATCAATTGTAATAAAAAAGGTGTGCCACAGGGATCCATCCTAGGTCCATTACCATTTATGGTGTACACAAATGAAATACCAAATGTAGTTAATGAAGATATTGTATTATATGCAATCAGGTAAAACTTTTGGGACTGTAGATAGGAGACTGAACTGGAAATATCAGGACGATCTCTTTGGACGACCTTCCACGAGGGATCCTTAAATGAAAGGAAGGGTCAACATATGAAGGGAAGGGTCAACAGATGTAGGAAATGGTCAACAGATGATGGAAAGGGCCAACAAAACAAATGGAGGGAAAGGACAACACATGGAGGAAAGAAAGAACATATAGAGGAAAGGGTTAACATATGGAGGGGAAGGGTCAACAGATGGAGGAAAGGAAGAACAGATAGAGGAAAGGGTCAACAGATGGAGGAAAGGAAGAACGGATAGAGGAAAAGGTTAACTGATGGAGGGGAAGGGGTCAACAGATGGAGGAAAGGAAGACCAAATAGAGAAAAGGGGCAACAGATGGATGCCAAGGGGTTAACAGATAGTTGGAGGGGGTCAACAGATAGGGGGACGAGTGTCAACAGATAAGGGGACGAGGGTGTCAACAGATAGGAGGACGAGGGTCAACAGAGGGAGGGAAGAGGTCAACAGAAGAAGGGAAGGGTCAACAGAAGAAGGGAAGGGTCAACAGAAGAAGGGAAGGGTCAACAGATAGAGGGAATAGTTAACATATAGAGGAAAGGGTGTCAACAGATGGAGGGAAAGAAGAATAGATAGAGGAAGGGGTTAACAGATGGAGAGAAGGGTTAACAGATGGAAGAAAGGGTCAACAGATGAAGGGAAGGGTCAACAGATGAAGGGAAGGGTCAACAGATGAAGGGAAGGGTCAACATATGAAGAGAAGGGTAACCAGATGAAGGGAAGGGTAAATAGATGGAGGGAAGGGACAATAAATGAAGGGACGGGACAATATATGGAGGAAAGGGTCAATTATCTGCTAGCAGGCCAAGAACCCCTAAGGATTGTCCAGCCAATTGTGATGATGCATCGATATTTATGTATTCTTGGTCTTCCAACTGACTTCTTTTTCTCTCACACTTTATATGATTACTGTAAAATGACATGTCCGTAAATATATAGATAACTAGGATCAATGAAATAAAATTAATCAAAGGTTAGGTCAAAATCATGTTTAAAAATTCGAATCTTTGCTCTCCATATGTCTTTGATGATTCACTGCACAATATTATTCATGCGTGATAAAGTGATTGAATATCTGGCTAAGCTTAGTTCATTTTGTAGGCATGAATGTAAGGAATTTAATTACATACCACAGTTATATAGACTTACAGGGTTAAAAAATAAGAATTCTGTAAATATCTGATACCAAATAAAATACTCACTTTCGAAAATCAGAGTTTTTTGCATATCCTCCTTCCCTTTTTCTTCCAGAAAAACGATCTCCTCTGTCGTTATCATATTTAGAGCCTCTTTCATTATTAAATCTATAACAAATAAATATAACAAATTGATATTTGCACTGCAATATTTTGAATACAATATGAGAAAAGCATATACTACTCTTTTTATACTTATTTTATGAAACTATCTATCCGATAATGAACGTACCCTCTGTTATTTCTGCCATAATCATTCTGTCTTCTATTTTGATTTAGCTCGTTATCTCCAGCAGGGGCATTCCATCCATCGTTTTTCGCAGTATTTTCCCAAGTATCATTTGGAGAAGTCCGTTTAAGTGTTTCTGAAGCAGACCAGTCTGAATTATTGGCATTGTTATCTCTATTGTTCCAAGAATCTCCATCCTGATTTCGCTGTCGCTGATGGTTGGGGCTATAACAAAAAAAGAAAACATTGTCATTCATAGTCGAGAAGATTTCTTTCATAATAATAATAATACTTCATTGCGCTAAGACACACAAAAGAAAAATTGTACAAGCATGAGTAGAGAGCACCCTTTTCAATGCAGGTTAGGCGGTGGTAAACGTTTTTGAAATTAATAAATCTGCTTTACGATTAAGAAGGTTATTGAAAGAATTTCAATAAATTCGTGAAAGCCTACTCACCTGAAACCCTTATTATTATCTCTCCAAGAATTTCTTTCGTGGTTATCGTTTGAGTTCTTGTCGAAACTTCTGCGAATTTGAAATTAGAAACAGAGTTAACACTAAATTTCAAAAAATATTTGGTAAAAAAATCTCTGAATTCAAACTCACATCATAGAAACCATTTGCGAATTTATTGATAATTTGAATAACTTTCTGGAATTTGATGACCATATAAAATACCTGAACAAAAAACTTGTATCAAGTTGTTATGCCACGAGTCATAAACAAAGAAATAGTAATAACTACTGGAAAAATTGACTAATTTTCCATTGAAAAAATTAATTAAAAGCATGATAGAGCACACATTCAAGTGAACTTCGCTTCATAAAATATGGCAAGGAATTTCTCCTCAAAATTAAAGTAATGTACACCCTTTATAATATATAACTAAACCATCATCTCTTTTCTAAATTTCAACAAATATGAAGGTTAATTCAGAAGTAAGGTCGATAAAAATACAGTTCTTTTTTCTGACTCCACATACGGTGTTTTGAATGAAAGGTGATTTCATATCGCAACATGAAACATTAACTGGACGTTCATATACAACATTATAATTTTATTACCATGCAATACTGAACTATAAGAAAAATTTCATAAATTACATCTCACAATTTGATCTCCACAAACTTCGTTTGAAAAATATATCACGATATGTTTCGCTAACACAGTAACCTCTTCAACAATGATTTGAATACTATAAGTTGTTTCTTAGGCTAATATTGATATAAAGCAGGTAACTACGATTGGGACTACCTCCATCACATTACCTGAACCTCTACAATTCTTATATACCTGAGGTACCTCTCCAAACATGATTACCTGAAGCATATTACCTCACTTCTACATCAATACTATTACCTCAGGTATATAATAATAGTAGAGGTACAGGTAATTTGATGAAGGTAGTCCCAATCGTAATTACTGAACTTGTTTCCCTAAAAACCCGAGGAAGTATTATTATTGATGTAGAAGTGAGGTAATATACTTCAGGTACCTTATCATAACTGAAGCTCAGGTATATAAGAATTGTAGAGGTTCAGGTAATTTGATGGAGGTAGTCCCAATCGTAATTACTGAACTTGTTTCCCTAAAAACCCGAGGAAGTATTATTATTGATGTAGAAGTGAGGTAATACACTTCAGGCACCTTATCATAACTGAAGCTCAGGTATATAAGAATTGTAGAGGTTCAGGTAATTTGATGGAGGTAGTTCCAATCGTAATTATTGAACTTGTATTCCTAAAAAACCGAGGAAGTATTATTGTTGATGTAGAAGCGAGGTAATATGCTTCAGGTAATCATAATTGAAGAGGTACCTCAGGTATATGAGAATTGTAGACGTTCAGGTAATTTGATGGAGGTAGTCCCAATCGTAATTACTGAACTTGTTTCCCTAAAAACCCGAGGAAGTATTATTATTGATGTAGAAGTGAGGTAATACACTTCAGGTACCTTATCATAACTGAAGCTCAGGTATATAAGAATTGTAGAGGTTCAGGTAATTTGATGGAGGTAGTTCNTGAAAATTATATAAATTAAAGAGTTTTTCAAAAATATTCATGATAAACAATATTTACATAGCTAATTTTATTAATGATTTTCGTAACAAATTTCAAATTAGCCAGCAGTTAAACGAATAGTAGCATTTATGTCTCAAGTAAGAAATGACTGAACTTCTAAACTTCTTGAAGACTGTGATATTTTTAAGTTCCTTCGGTAGAGAACTATATGCTTTTATTGCCTGATAGTAAGCTCCTTTCTCATAATATGTTGAGTTATGGCTGGGAATAGCTAGTTCATTACATTGTCTGGTGTTAATATGCATATTATTCGAATATTGACCACTATTTCTGGGAAACAGGTACGGATATTTTTTTACGAAACAGACAAGACTCAAGAAGTACAACGAGGGCACTGTCAAAATATCAAGTTTACAGAAGAACTCTTTACAAGAGCTTCTTTGATGTAGATTTAGGATACATCCCAGGATTCTTTTTTGAGTAATAAATATTTTTTGTGAGTATACTGAAGAACCCCAAAATATAATACCATATGAAATCAACACATCAACATATGCACATGTGCATAGTAATATGTTCTCAGTCTACAAACAGAGACTTGATCCCTTAAGTATCGTATCACACCACAAATAGAGCTTAATATGTTATCCAATAAATTTATATGGGTTTGCCAACTGAGGGTTGCATCCATCGTGACACCTAAGAATTTAGTGTGATCCGATATTGGAATAGACCTAATTTGGAGTTTTACATATAGAGATTCCTCGCAGTTTATTGATTTGTTAAAAATTACTAGTCCCGTTTTGGTAATATTTAATTTAAGCATATTTGCCTCTGACCATTTGACTATACTATTTGACATGGCTGAAGCTTTGGTTGAGAGTTCTAATGCATTTGTTCCACTACCAAGATTCAAGGCTTTGGGTAAGTCGTTCATATATAGAAGGAAGAGTATTGGTCCAAGGATAGAGCCCTGAGGTACACCCTGCCTAATCATAATTCTACTAGATATATATCAGTTCTCTACGTTCATTATGCTAACAACTTGGGATCTATTTGATAGGTATGATCTAATGAGTTCATAACCCACATCCCTTATACCATACTTTTCCAGCTTATTTAGGAGTTTTTCGTGGTTTACCATATCAAAGGGCTTTGAGAGGTCATAGTACAAGCCGATGGAGGTTTTTTGCTATCAACATTCTCTGTAATTTGTTTTACCGCATTAAATATCGCCAGTTAGGCGGTATGTAGGATGCGGTATGAAATGAAGATGAATCTTCTGCACGTTCTGGTTCAAACATTAAATCAGAAAATTGTGAAACGGAATATGCTGAGTTTTAGGAGAATTTGAATGATACACAACTGAACAGTTCTCGCAACTTGAAGAATCTGTCGTACCTGTACCTTTTTTCAGCGAATGGTTCTGAACATACGATTACCAAATGAAGGTGTAATTTTTTTTATCGTAAGTTTGACAGAATTCACGTGAAAGAGCGTGCTTTCAAGTGTACAAAACCATCATCAAGTCAAAACTAATTTTTTGACACAATATGTATCTTTTTTCGGAGACCACAAGACAATTTATTTTCCACTGAATGTTACAATACAAGTACCATACATTATGGGAATCGTCACTAATAAGTAGGTTATAATAATATTACAATTTCACTTTTTGGTCATAAAATAAAATAAATTAATATAAATAAATAGGTACATGTACACACTTTAAAAATTAAATGAAATATAAGTTTATCAATACTAATTAGAATTATTTATTAAAAATTTGAATCAAAAGACTACTGTTTCATGTGGTCCGAGTCAAAATTTTCATTCAAAAACTCCTGAACTGAATAATAGCATTTCTGTACTAAAAACTTTTTTAGATAATTTTTAAATGAACTTGTGCTGAGTTCTCTAAATTTCTTAATTTCACATATTTTATTGTAGCATTTGATTCCTATATAATTGGGATTCTCCTGTCAGTCCAGTGATGATTAAATTAGTGTCATCTGCATAAATAATTGGATAGCTTGTTTTATTTACCTCCATGGGTAGATCAGTTATAAATATATTAAATAAGGTTGGTGACAAACATGATCCTTGAGGAGTTTCAATCGGCTCGGATCGGACCCCGTTGATTTCTACTTGTTGATTTCTATTTGACAGATATGAATATATCCATTCCAAACACAGGCCTCTAACACCAATATCATACAGTTTAGCTTTCAACAAATTGTGATCAACGGTATCGAACGCCGGCTCATATCAAAGAACAGTCCCATTATGTTTTCCTTTTTGTTCAATGCATCATGGATGTGAGATATAGCTTCTTCTAATGCTATCGTGGTAGATTTTTTCGCTCTAAACCCATGCTGTGAACTATCTAAAATATTAAACCTTTCGAGATAATTGCAGAGTCTTACGTTATAAGAGTATTCATATATTTTGCCAATGTGACACTGAACCGCCACTGCCCTATAATTTTTGGCCTCCTTTCTACACCCCTTTTGCTTGTAGAGTGGAACAACTCTTGAGAACTTCAATTGTTCAGGGTATTTACCTTCATAAAAGCTTCTATTTATTAAAATACTTAGTGGATGTGATAAAATGTCACCAACAGCCTTCATGACATTTCCTGGTACATTATCTATACCCGGTGTTTTTTTGGTGCAAACTTTTAATATAGTCTTATGTATTTCTTCAGGATCGGTAGGGTATAAATAAAATGAGTGGAGCCGGGATTTAATTTTTAGGGTATGGTTTAAATTTTCTGAACCTTTGTTTTTTCTATGAAATATGTCAACATATTGGTTTACCCAGAAAAATATTGATGCCACTTACCGGTTTCCCCTATTATCCTGCCTCCAGGGTTTATCGTTTCTGTCGTTTGATCTACCATTCCAAGTCGAATCATCCCTAAAAAAATGTGAAATCAATAACTGAATCATCAACCCCCTTGCCTGAAAAATTTTACCGCTGGGTTCTGTGATCGCGGTCCCCTCTGAAGTTATCTCTCTGTCCTTCACGCTGGGGTGTTTGTCCGTCTCGTTGCGAGTATGACTTCCTATGCTCGATTTTGTTTCCTGCTTGCACCAACATAGGGCTGACCTGAGACTTGGCAGCCGCAATTTTATCCAGGAGTAACGAAGACACATTGTAGTTCGAGGCGTCAAAAAGTTCTACGAGAGCTTTTTTTCCGGACATCTCAACAACTTTCATGGTGAACGTGTCTTCCAAGATAATTTCCTCTAGGAAACCATCTCTTTCTGCATCGTCTTCCATATTCTGATATCCGTTCAGACAGCACTCAACCGCTTGAGGCACCAGTACAGTCAGTTGCTCACCATCGATGGTTTTGAGCTGGGTGATGTGGACCACTTCTTCGTTTCCAAAGTCGATATACCGAACTTTGACGTTTTCACCTAATATCTCCACCACCTGACTGCGGTACCACTGATTATCTGCCAGGAACAACGCACAACAGGGTAGTCCAACTCTGATTTCGTTAGGTTGTATATGACTATTTGATAGACAAATTTCTTGTAGGTCCATCATGAGTTTGGCCAATTCATTTTCTTTGCTGACAAGCTGAACGTAAAACCTGTTGCAACTATAAACGAAGCTAACCTGAAAACAATTCAGAACTGTCTTCAGAATCAGGGATGATTTGAAGTTATGGTTTCAAAAATACTTTGAAGTAAAAATAATAGAAATGTTCCATTTATGTTTGAATAAAGTTGAGAATTAATTATTCTTGGCATATGAATTAGGTGATCAATCAATACATTAAAATGAAAAATCTTTCTCAAGTGAGTCCAATATGAAAATTGAGTTATTTATTTGCCAAGTGATATAACTGCCTTTGAATGAAATTCAGATACGGATTTACCAAATTTTCAACAATTCTTGTAATAAATTTTGTGTGTTGAATGAATATATATACTTTCTTTGGAAAATGTTCTGGGAACTACCTAAGTCTCCTTTCTCGAAGGAAATTTGGAGAGAGAGAGAGAAACATTCTTCATGGTCTGAAGGACAAACATTTTTATTGACAAAAGCATCATATATGTCAGTAGTTTAAAAAATAGAGACATAACAAAACACATATCAGTCTCAGAAGATAAACCTAAACAATTTAAAACAAGACATATAACAATGAAATGATGAATCAAGGTACATCATATCAAATGCTACATCAGACCAGGGTGAGTACACCAACATCTAATGCAATGGCGAATGTTCCTCCTGACGAAAATCAAGTAGTTTTCATAAAAGAGCTCTAAAACAACACATTTTAAACTTATCATTTCAACCTTTTTCTTTAAAAAAATTATTTAAATAATTAAAAACGAGGAATGAATAATGCATCCAACATTTGAAGGGATTCGTTTTTATTTCACCATTTGGCAACATCGGTTATAGCTAATAAAGGACAATGAATCTGTTACCTGTATGAGACAAACAAAGATGACATATTTCAGAGGCGTGCTGTTCTGTTTACTCATGTTTCGAGTTCCGAGATATTCTGTGACATATGACAGTTTGTACAACCTAACCTATCTTCCTCTATATAATAATAATAATACTTTATTTCCGTGTAGACAATATACATTGTATAGGAATAGTCAATAAAAGAAATAAAAATAAAGATAAAAACAGAGTATAAGACACATACAAGTTGAAACAACACCTTAAAACTAAAATAATACCCTACTTATCTAATCTAAAAATTCATTCAATGAATAAAAACATTGTTCAATTAGAAATCTATTTTTTGTTCTAGTGTCATATAAATAAATAACAAAACAACTGTTGTTTACGTGGCTTGTAGAGGTGGTATTTTACTATAATTTATATTTTGCCTAATTGTTGATTAATAAAGATACTTTTCCTTTTTTAAAGTAGAATATCTAGAGGTACGTATAAATTATTTCAACTTGATATAGGCGCTGTTGCCAATATGTGAATTAAAAACAAATCCCTTTAAAAATTAAAACCCAACATTTGAAATTAATCCCTATTCATAAATATCTAATGTTTTTTGGGAAAATAAAGACAATATGTTATGTTTTGCATATTTTATGATTTTTTTTGTAAATGGCATTATTATTTGAGGGTGAACTCGCAGGAATTAGCTCTGCTCAACTGAAAAAATTAGCGTCTCCGAATTTCTCACACCTAGTACCTACTATTATTAAATTTGTCAAGTTGAATTCTTATATACTGCATGATTTTTCTATAAAAAAAGGTTTTCTTGCCCAACTAAAAGAATAAGTAAATAGAAAATGCAATTAGTTACCTTAACTGGCTGACTGAATCCCTTGTTTAGAGAAATTGGTTCTGGGTAGGCATGTTGAACAGCACGGATTACAACGTCAAGTGCACTTGTTTCACTTTTTGGATCCCACAGTTCACATTTTGGTATTGCCATGCGAGTACGTGCTTGTAAAACTGTCATGTGTAACAATCTGTTGTCAACAAAATTTTTGAAAGCCACCTGCATCTCATGGGTAACCGTGGATTTTTCAACACCAGCCAAAGCGAATCGGATTGCCATCACTTTTGGAATGATATACTTGAAGGGAATTTGGAATAGAGAGTCGAGGGATACAATTTCGTAGTTGCCGAAGTCCACATAATACACCTGAAAATGATAAAAATTGAGTTAGGAACTTAAGCTGAAAAAAGTTTTCGTAAATATTTCAGATACTAAAAATAAAGAACATGAAAAACATGAGATCCAACGATGAAGGAGTTTCCTTTGCTTTGCATGTTTGCTATTATTGCTTTGCTATTATTGATAACTTCCCAAAATGGGGAGCCGTATCTCAGATGGGATTCAATTAATGCATGGTATACTATTTTTGCAACAGAGGATCCCAGTTCCTGCGATACCATTTTTACAGTAAAACAATCAGAGGCCTGTTTTTATTCAAGTTCATTGCATGCTCTTCAAATTTTCAATTATTATCAATGAACAACCCCAGAAACTTAGTGTTGTTACGGCTCTCTATGTAACCCTTATCCAGTTCGATGTAACCAAAATCACACTTGAAGTAAAATATATTGGTTTTTGAAACGTTAGAGACAAGGAGGTTACACTCTGTGTTCACTGATTTTTCCAAAGCTTTGAACAAAGTTATTCATGAGCTCCTGAATCATAAACTTTGTTTATACAGTGTTGATAGGCTGATATTCCAGTGGCTCAAGAGCTATCTTACAAAAAGAACGCAAACTGTCACGGTTAATCATTACTATTCTCATACCATCACAGTTACATCAGGTGTTACACGAGGATCACATTTGGGACCACTGTTGTTTAACTTTTATATAAACAAACTAATTTCCTGCTTCTATTAAAGTAAAGCTTTGCTATTTGCTGACGATTCAAAATGTTTTAAAATAATTAAAAATGGTGAAAAATATGGCATCCAAATGCCATATTTTTCACTTTCATCGAACACATGGCCCAATCATTTTCGAATATAGTATAAATAATCTGACCTTACATTCTGCTTCTGAAACCAAATTTCTAGATACAACCTTAGCTATAAACTTAGCTATAAATCACATACTTCCACTGTAATTCAGAAATCCATGAAGGTGCTTAGCATTATAAACAAAATCACCAGCGATTTTACTAAAATTACTATTAAATTTCTTCATTGTGCCCTGGAGATTTCATCTCGATTATTGTTCTACAATTTAGTCCCCCATTATGTTACACATAAAGTGAATGTCAAGGCTGTACAGTAAAATTTCCTGAGATATATTCAAGATGCCTGTATACTATGCCTAAGTTGTATTAGAAAGCATATTGAACATACTTTATCTTGAGGCATGCAGAAAACATAGAGATTTGATACTTCTATTTAAAATTATCAACGGACTGAGTACCAGCTCCGAGCTTCTCCCCAAATGATCTCTACTTATCCCCAGTCGTTCAACTAGGCAGGTGCAAACCTTTCATGTTTCTTTTCACAGATTCAATTACTCATACAACTGCTTTATTCCTAGGACCTTTTGATAAGCTAACTCTTTAAATAACCTTCAAATATTCAATATATAAGTTTTATGCTTCAAAAACCACATTCCTGTCCTGGCTATTTAATATTTAGAGCTAGGGCTATTGCATTGTGTTTAGTAATACTTGCCCGCAAGAATTACATTAGTTCATATTGTTTTACCTTGTGAATTTTTCTTAATTGATCTATGTTTTGCCTCTAATTTGAAACTAATATTCTTATAATTTACTTTCAATCCACTACATTGCATCCACTACTATATAGCACTATAATACTTTTATTTGAATATGATGTAATGTAACATTTGAAAAAAAAGTTACACTTAGTGTTTTCAAAAATGATGGTAACTAGCAGCTTCATCTCTTTGTTTTGTAACAGACCTTTAATTCTAGTTCACGATCTCTACAAATAACCCAAACGTTGTGAAACAACTTGTAAAAAAAAAACATAAAAATGCCTTCTTACCTTAAACTGATTATCTACTTCATTTGTAACCACAGCTCGACAAACATTACCATCTTCTTGACATCGTGCTAGACACAGGGTACCAGGGATAGGAATATCTTCTAATAGTCTCAAGGCGATGCAATTAATATCTTTCATTAGATTGGCTAAAACACTTTCATATTTTTTGAGCTGCACAGAAAACTGACAGGGACCATCATTGATATACGACACATAAACAGGATGCTGTTCTCCTGAATCTAATGTAATAGCCTTATAAGTATTTATTGCAGCAGCAGCAGCAACCTGTGTTGGGTTCGGAACTTGAGTCGATGGCTTTTGGATACTCATACTCAATAAAACTGCTTGTTGTGCTTGTAAAGATATGGGTTGCATAAGTCCACGTTGGATTAAAAGACTACATAAGTCTGTTCCATCCAAGAACAGTTTCACCAAGTAATATTGTGTAGCTTGAGCTAACAAATGACACTGAACTTCTCGATACTTAATATCCTTGGCAATGCTTTCGAATATTGCTTCATTCCATTCTCCACCACCAACACAGTGTGCTTCCCCAAATATAAATCCTGCTGCTAGAGGAGGTATTGAAATAAATGATGATGGACAAATGTGCAGGCTTCTGATGTTTTCACATGAAACAATGTCTTTATTACCAAAATCTATAAAGATGACCTCAACGAGGCTGTCTCGGACAAGTATATTGACGATTCTTGCTCTGTAATATTTATCATCATTGTATTTTGCACAAACCAGAGTACCACATTGTAAACTATCTGGATGAATTTTACTTTTTCCAGCGTCGAACTGAGGACAAAGCCCGGCAAGATACTGTTCTACATAAACCGCGTTGTTTTTTTCTGTTTGTCCCCACAACTTCAAAAATGGACCTTCCTTCTCGACAAAGGTTATGTATAAATCTACCGATTGAGCCAGATCCATTTTTATTATTTTATTCTGAACGAGTTCTCTTTTAGTTATATCACAAATTAGCACACAATATACAATAATCTTATGTGGAATCAACACTATTTAACTTCCATTTCTCATTCCAGTATCTATACATGTTTTTTGAAATAATTTTACATCTTCTTCTTTTCCGGGTCGTTTATAGCGTTTTCCATTGCTTAAACTAGTGGTGCTTTCGATTCGTACCATCGACATAACCTTTCGTACTGACAGACGAATTCTGTCCAATTTCTAGCTTCTGTTCACTACGAAAAGTAGAAGCCCGACCAAATGCACTCGAATGAGAATCATCGGCCATAGAAATTAGAGAAAGTGAGAGAACTACTTTAAGATCAAGATATTTTCTTCTGGCCATTGGAATAAAGAATATTGTTATTAATTTTTTCCAAGTGGTTGTTAATTTGATATAAACAATTATTTTGAAAACAAATTCTCATAACTCTAACATAATATGAGAATGAACAATGAAAAACAACATTTTTAAATGCAGTTCTGACCTGAAAATACCCCGAACTATTTTTAATGCAGTTCTATCATCGTTGAAGATGATTACAGAAAACAGAATGCACAAGAAACTTGAATTACTAATATATCATCATCATATTTTATTACACGTGTCCGATACAAAGTCTTGTATGGGCAAATCATTTTGAGGTCACAAAAGTTGAATCTCTCTCTACCTTAGTCACATTTTTGGAATGAATAATGCTCCTGCCCAACTTACTTCATCATTATTCAGACTTACTATGATGTGTTGAAAGTTTTCATTGCTTCCCATGAGTATTTTATATACTATCTCAAGTTCTTTTATCACTACTCAAAGGAGACGATGAAAATTATTGATTCAACATTTGTATTCTCTCTATTATCGTCCAACCTGAATACAATTCTTATTGACCTGCTTTTCCAATCGGACATGTGAACTCACACTCGTTTCACCAAAGGAACATCAAAAATGCACACGTCTCTCACTGGTTTTATCAATGGAAAACGCTATAAAATTATATTCAATTTGGGAGGAACACGAAGTGGTCGATATTTAGGATTAATAACTGAAATGTCAAACTCAAGGAAAACATTGAATATTTCCATACGGAACGGTAGTCATAAAAATTAAAATATTCGTTACTACTTCATTTTGTGATATTCGTTAACACAACTATAAAAATCATCTCTCTCTCTCTGAGCAGTAAATTCAAACGGTTATTCAGAGCCAGCGTAAAAATTATACAGATATGGAAAATGTATATCGAATACCATTCTGCAAAAGGTACGCGATAGCAGTATCAAATTAGAGATTTCTTAGCGACGGAATATCAAATACTTAATGTTTAACTCGTGCAACTGATACGTTAGACAGCAGTCAGTCCATGATGATTGAAAATAAAATAATTTCTTGTGAACTCTAAAATATTCACGTTCACAAAAAAAATAGATACAAATTTTAAAGTGGTATAGGCATAGGCCCATTCCGTCACAGACCACCAATTGTCGAACTATTAGGAAGAAGAAAAATGTGAAAATGTTCAGAACTGTCAAATTTCCGATGAAACACGTGTAAAGCTAATAATTCAATATCATCAAAATATTGTGATTTATTTTCAAAAAATGTCTTGGCATCTATGAAATTAGTAAATCAAATTTTCAAATACAGAATTTCAATTGCTAGGATTTCTAGAATTCAGCATGGACTTGCAACAGTTTTCTAGTAGAAGTTTACAGCGAGTTTTCGAAGTGAGGCTTCCCTCATTCACTTCAATATAAATAAACATGAGATATTTATTTATGTTTAATTTGCAGTGTTTATCATTCGAGTCAACTTCACAGATTCTACCTTTTTGACAATTTTGATACTACTTTCATTGTCTGAAAAACCGAACGTACTTGGAGTAAAAAAAAAAAACGATTTTTGACAACTGAGGCGGGAAAATCAAAAACTGTCTATAACTATAGAACAGTCATATATGACTCACCCGTTAATTACATTCTCACAAGGCATCAAAAATTGAAGTAAAAATAAGTAAAATTGATTGTACGAAATACATATTTTTTCATTCAACCAATTTGCTCCGTAAAAGGCTTTAAAAATGACGGAGGGCGGAAGTACACAATTATGTATGTAATATAAAATGATAGTTATAATGATTTTACTCACCTATTCAGCAAATAATCTGCACTTTATTCCCATGAACACTGCTATAGTCAAAGAAAACCAACTCATAAGCTCTAATTGAGAAAACATTTCAATTTCCCTTCCATATCACATCACCGCATAACAGCAGTATGATCGTAAAGCTGGTTGTATAGTACGGATTTTAATGATTTACAGATATTACCGTTATTCAACCTAGAACTCCATTAATTTTTTGCCAACAATTTTACATTCTTTAAATCAATCACTGGTGTTTATACCGGGGAAATCAAGAGTTATAATTTGAATGAATACCATTCTCGTTGATGTGAAATACTCTCATTGTCTGAATAATGACATAACAAAATTAATAAAATCATTAACTACAAAAAAAGCAGATATAACATGTTTCATGAGAAAGAAAGGTCTTGGTTTCCTACTTCTTCAATTTATCGCTCAATTTTTTATTTTTTGAGAAAGTACAATAACATATAATTCATTATAACATTAAAATCAACAGTTCTTCATCTTTTTGCAAAAAATGTGGGAATCTTTCAAAAAATTAATTCCTCCTAAAAATATACTTACCTCTTTCAATTTAAACATGTTCAGTAGTGATAACTATATATATAAAAAACCTTGTAATTAAAATATTCTATAATATACAGGGTGTTCCATTCAAAACTCCGCGGGCAAATATCTGGAAAATGAAAGAGAATATCCATATTTCGTGAAAGCAGAGATCCAGGCGTCATCCGTTAGGGCGTCGCGACACCGACGCCATTTAAAAAAATAGTTTGCCCAGATTTTTCAATTTGTTTTTGGATACTGCATCAAATTCTGAATTCAGCCATATATCACACTTGTAGTTTCCCTTGAATACTGATGAAAAAAGGTAATTATATTGCATACTATAAAGAGGACTATTAATAAGTCAAAATAAATGCAATAATACGAGTTTAATAAAATTAATCTATCAGTTACAATTGCATTGCCTAATCAGTTTAATTTAGTTGTGTGTTTCTGTAAAATCGCAGACAATACAAACTAAATAATGAGCAATTTTCAAAATACTTTCCATTTCTGCTGCTCAATCGGAATCTAAATGAATTTTTTCATCTTTCTATACCAATTACTGGATTCTCATAAATAAAACTAGACAGACATTATTATCCTTTATTTGGACCACGAAAATAATGTTGGATGGAATACAAATTGTGAAGTTTCAGAAAATTGCTTCGAGAGATTCTGAATAATAAAATTTCAAATTCTACATCAAATATGTTTAAATATGAAAAAATTGTAAATAAACAACTCAAATAACAATGAATATATATTTTCAGGAATGTAAATTGGAATAACATAAAAAAAGTAGATATCGAGAGACGCATCAGAGTACCTATACATTTTTAGTCAGAAACTATATATATCGAACATTGCACTCATGTTTCGGACTTTTGGCCAGTCATCAGTAAAGTGAAGCCAAGTGCAAGGTTGGACAACACTTGGTTTCCAAAAGAAGTACAGGTGCACGAAGCAATCAGCAGAAGCCAGCCTTAAATTTGTTGTTTCACGTGGTAATTTTAGTAGTTCTCTCATAAACAAGATCTATTAACTGAAATTACAGATGTGCTTCTGCTGGTGGTTCCGTTCATTTGTACTTCTTTTAGTAATCAAGTATTGTCTATCCTTGCACTTGGCTGTGCCATACTGATGATGCATCAAAATCCCAAAACACGTGTATATGGTTTGCCCTTTCTCGAGTTATATCTCCGATAAAATTATCTCTTGCATTATATACCTTCTTCAACTATTTCAACTTTTGGATATTCAACGAAATGAATTTGATTCATTTACTATACTCAAAAATATCTACTATCAAAATATTTGAAGAAAGTATTCTTTGAAACACATTTTTTATGGAGGAGTAAATTTTCTTCCTGTTTGAGCATTTATCCTTCCACAATATGAAAAGTTAACAGAGCTAAATCTAGATATGATCGATATGTCAGCCAGCGAAGAAACACATGACATCACCGCAAAAGGAATGCAGTCGGCAACCGCCGGTTAAACTCTAGTTGAGTACCGAAACGACTTCCGAATTCTAGAACGATCGTTACCGATATATAAGGTCGGCTTCCCGTCCCAAGAGGGCAGTGGAGTTCAGAAAGTGAATCCAGCGGTTAAACAAGGAATTCAAATAGTGGAGAATCTTCACTAACACAGTAACTTTTGTGTTGAACTCTTCATTAAGCTTGAGCAAATTCTCTGTTAATATACCTATGTTTATTTTTCAGATTGCGAAAGGTTCAATGTTCAAAAACCAACAAGAAACATTCGAAGAAATATAGAACAATTTTAAATAGAATTAGATTCATTAAGAGGTACTATAAAAATAAATCACTTTCAAAATACTATCACACACAGAATACCTAATCTAAATATATCTTTAACAAATTAATGAAAAGTCACAAAGAGGTGTTGAGTAATAAGTATAAATGTGTAAACTTTACATATCATAAAACAAATATCATGGTAACAAAAACATATCATACATAGGAACTAAAATTAGAAAACAAGCATAAAATTTAAAACCATAATGCACTGGGTAGGGTCACTTTCGTTCATACTTATATATTAGGAAAAAATATTGAAGGAGAATCTTTGCAACTGTAAAATTATATACAACAGTGACTTTTCATAATCCACCAAGTTAACAACTAATTTTCATTGAGCAAACTGTACAATTTTCAATAAATTGTTCAAGTTATCATTCATTCAAATCAACTCGACCTTGGTCTTGTTCTTGCAGGACTTCGATGAAAGGACCTGGAATAACAAATAGGATTGTGTGAAATCAACTTTCGAAATTTTTATTTCATCACCTTTCAACCAAAGCACAACATTGATTTATTCTGGCATAATATTAACAATAAAAAAATATAAAGATTCTATTATTGTCTAAAAAACATACAATACAAACAAGTATACCTATAACATAAACGAAGTAGCATTGCTTTTATTTTACTAGATAAAATAATACTGAAAAGATTCGTTAAAATATTCCTGAAGACCAAAAGAGTTTATCAACAGTATGTTGTCTAATGCCAGCAAAGTTTTATAAGCAGTATATCATGATTAACACAATAAAATGCTATAGTCAAATCAACGGCATTCATTTCTGTTTAAAGAGTATTCATTTTACAAAAGCGTACGGTTCGAATAAGTGCTAATTTAGGATAGCTACACTCATGCAGAAACTTATTCAAAGAGCTGGAAATACTCACAGTTGCTGGTCTGTATATATATGAGATGTGTATCTACATTTATAAGAATAGAGAATCATTCAGGGGAAACCAACAAGACCATCCATACGCATCTAGAGCTGGAGGGTTGCTGATAGCAAATCCCCACCGAACCTCTATCTGAAGAGTCACCAATACCTTGGACCCAAACTATATAACAAGCTAGACGTTTCTATTAAGGACTCGATGAATATCTGCATATTCAAAAGACAAGTAAAAGAATGCCTCATTGAAAAAAATTGCTACACCATTGACGAGTTTTAATACTTACTCTCGGTAAATAATTCTTAATTACCTTTATATATCCAAATTAGTATCTGTCATGTTTTGTTGTTTTATATATATTTTTTTTAGTTACACACAGACGTCTTCCTTGTTACTGTATGTAAAGGTTTATTGTAATGCTTTCATACTGTTCAACAAGGGAAATAAATATTATTATTATTATTGATTACCGTGGCAAGCTCAAAGACATACCATAAAGTGCATATCAGATATGTTTTGAGGATTGAAGAAAAACGCTGACACAAGTGTATAATATCTGAGGTGGACTACAAAATAGAAATTGATGAGTAAATGAATAATTTTTGGAAAAAATGAAAATCTATCTTATTTTTTGAACAGAGTAGTACAATGCATATGCTATCATTTTTATTCGCCATATATGAAGGTAACTGAACCATACGGACCCTAGAAATGTGTTCCCTCTGGATATTTTGCAAGATGTGCAAAAATAATTTTCATTCAACTGAATTTATACCAGAAATTCTTCTGAAGACGTTCATGAAACTGAAGGCTTCTTCCATTTTTTATTTAATGAAAAGTCGATATTCATATAGTTGATAAAACATTTTTAGTAATACAGTGAGAAACAAGAAAGCTAAAACTGATAAATAAATATGTTCTTACCTTGGTTCTGGCATTTTTCCTCCGTATTCTTCCAAAAATTTATTCAGATCTATATGAGGTAATAACTGAAAAGAAATATTTTTTCAGTGAAACATCTACATATAAAAAAGATTCCTAAAAAATGTTTTCCTTGATAAATTCTACTCTGCTCCGAATTTTAATAAAATTTCTCAATTACAAATTTAGAATACGGGTAATTTTGAAATGTAACAGGGATATTCTCATAACTGTTATCTACTGTACGATGATGGTTTTCAGTATTAAAACTGACAAAACTGATGAAAAGTTCTACGAATTTGGAGTTATTTCAGCACCTGTGATGTGCCAGATATAACTATGTGTGAACCGCATATGATGGAAGAAGTATGCGAAAGTTTCAGAAACGATATGCCAAACCATTCAACGAAAATGGAAAAAGAAGTACGTATTTCTGGTAGTTTCACCATTTTTGCAGATGACACCACACTTTTGTGGCTTAATAAAAATCATTAAAATTTATACGAAATCATCTGTAATGATCTCAGAGAAATTAAACAATGGTGTGGTGCAAATTTGCTGTTAATAACATTAAAAAAACAAGTATAATCATTTTTAAGTGCAACCTACCAGAAATTCACATGGAAAGTACACTAGTGGAAAATGAGAACTCTACAAAATTTTTTGGAATTACTTAATATCGATGAGTGTCTGAAATTCGAGAAGCATATAGGCATTACAAATAAGAAACTTTCTTCTGGGTTTCACACAGCAAAAATTGTTTATTATGCCCTCATAGACTCTCACCTAAGGTATGGCATAGCATTTTGGGATGTATGCAGTTATTTCAATCTATTTTCATCTTACAAAAACTTGTGATACGTTATCCCTGTGGAGCAAAGTGGAATGATCCATGCAAACTACCATTTATAATGCATGGAATTTCAACTATTACTTCATTGTTTGTTCTTGAACCAGCATGCCTTATCCACAAGAACAAAGGTACTTTTATTTCTCAGCCTCAACACAATATTAGACAGACTTGCCAATTGAAGATTCTTATCCCAACAAGTAGTCAAATCAAGAACTCAATTATATATAATGGAGTGGAAGTGTACAACCAATTACCAATAGAATTTGTCTCGGTACTATCTTTTAGGAGAAACTTGAAGGCAATTCTTGTCTAAAAGGGTTACTATACATTAGATGAATTTTTTGAGGATAACTTCAACACATGATCTTCATATATATGTATTTTTTTCTCTTTATTGTTTTTTTTATACATGTCATTTATCTACTCAATTTCATTTTTACTCGTTTACATGCTTACATTTTAAAAAACATACTGCTTGAGTATGTGCTCATGTATATATATGTATGTGCTCAATAATTTATTGGTATTATATAGTTGTACATTACATTTTAGCAGAAAAATGTTTGTGGAAAAGATGTATTCTTTATGATATTAAAAGTGTTCATAATTGTCAAAAAAAAAGAAATTGTCAGCGTGTCATAATTATTCTCTTTTTTCTCGCCTCTATGTGTTGACTTTCTGAAACCCAATGTTCCATCTTCTCATATGTTTAATAGCACTTCCAAGAAGGCAATTGTTGCATTATGAATTGAATTTTTGGGTTAAGGGAGTTCAGAACATATAATCAATATAAAACCGCCAACAATATATGGTTTCATGGTTGTTCACTCTAAGGCATGTTGTTCAAATTTTTCCAGATATGTAGTACTGAAGACAACCTTGAGCCAAGACGTATTCCAAATGATTTCACATCTTCATCTGTTTTATCTTTTTCTTATGAAAAAAACGATTTTGATTTAATTCTAATTCTGACTCCACTATATGAGTTCCTGTTTTAGTTGAGATCAAATATCTTATTTTAATGCTCTTGAGAAATATGCATGTGAAAAATGGAACATAAATCAATCCTGACTGGTATATAATGATATAGTATACTGTAAAAATAATTTGTAAATAAATAACATAATCTACTGAAAGGCAAAAAACATCTCATATTTATTTCTCGTCATTCTGTGGTGAGTACTCACTTTCGAGGGTTGTAAAAACCGAGGAGGTATGCGATTAATAACTTGAGAACTTTTCTTGGGACCAAATCCCAACTCCAATAAAACTGTTTCTGGATCAGGCTTTCTCAATTCCAAAACAGATTCCACACTAGAACAATAACTGGAGCCGTCGTCAGATTGGAATGAAAAATCTCTAGATAATGATTTCTGCGGGTTCTTTTTTTGTGAATTCGGCCCTGTAGTTGGGTTTGACTCAACTGGAGGAATTGTGTCAATCCATTGTTGAACTGGATTTTTTTGCATTATACAAAACTCTTGAGATTACTGTTTAGATTTCAGTACCGCTAGTTTATGAATAACATGTAACATCTAACAATGAGAATCAACAAGTAGTTGTTATTTTTAGATCACTGACGTTTAAAATGACGTATGTTGATTATTGACTGCAGAAATTAAAATTATATTGCAATCAAAGTGTTTGATCATGGGTTTATCTGATTTCATCATAAATATATTTCAACCAATCTATTATATAGTAGTACATATTACTACTACTCTAACATGGTGAAATAGTGCTACTAACAGCTGCTGTTATAAAATTTTGGTTTGTTTATGTTTACTAAAATACCATAATCAATCAGAGCATCAGAGCCACAGATCACAAATTACATAAAACGAAACTTCACACCACAGTGCATGTAATCTGTCTTTGGGCAAAGCAGTTACAGTAGTCCGCAACTATATAGTTACCGAATCACATTATACATTATTCCATAACTTTATAATTACGTGATGCAATAAATCTATAAACAGTATAAACCAACAGAACTCATAATTATATTTCATATCAAATTCTGAATTTTGTGTATAAACCGCAGCTACAAAGAATTGAAGGTGTATGGTGTGTTTTGTTCGCTCTAATATTATACAAGAACTGTCAATCCCACCAAAACTTCTTCGCTGGTTCTGCTCAATCAAAAAACATAAAGCAGAGATAGTGAAATGACTTAATCGGTTGCAATCGATGCCAACAACACTATGGAGGGTAGAGGTGCTTCTACCATCCATAAACATCACACACCTTGAGTAATTATCTGTCATCTGTCATAGAGCTAACGTCAATGACATAGTTTTCTGATTGATTCGGCCGTTACTTGATGAAGATCTATAATAAATCAATGACATAGTATTTGAATAACCAACAGATCTCATAAGTTGATTTTAGAAATACCAATCCACTTTTCAATAATAGAATTCCATAAGAGTAGACACTGAATTCTAAGAAGTATTATTGCATTAAAACGAAAACGTTGTCAAGGTTGTGACTCTATATATTTTATCCTTATCAACATTTTTCTCATCTGTTTTGTTACTGCCAGAGACTGATTAGGACAAAAATGTCAGTCATTTCTGAGAATTTAGTGCGTACTGTATTGGAACATAGTGCTCACTATATCGTACTTGTCGAATATCGACACATATACACACAATCAACGATGTCATATAATGAACAAGTTTTGGTTACTTCATCAATATTGAACTATGAAAGTTGTGGCCAAGGTTTTTATGTCAAATTACATTACAGTCACAACGACGAAAAAACACAAAAAATACCGAAATATAATAGACATACCTACAGTATCAAAAAATACCCATAATTGATCATAATAAAAAATAATATCTTGGAAAATTACACAAACATTTGTAAAAAAGTAATATGAAGCATCAGTCATGAGTGCCAATATAAATTAAGGAATCCTTGGGATATGTGTCACAGACTGGCACATAGTTGAGTAAATGTTAATAAAATGAATAACGAACTAACTTTATTTGAACTGAAAATATTATATTCATGTTGAATCCTAAAATGCAATTACATATTTTGTTTATATTGAAGACGTCTTCTTCACTTTGATGTATTATTTTATTCACATTAGGCCTTAATTGTCTTCTTCTTTCTCACTTCTCATTTGAAGAAAAGAGATGAACTCACTTTAAATGCATTAGAAAATACCTTTAATAATAAACCTTATAACTGACGTCACATTATCACGTCAGGTGAAAGCTGTTGTGCCGGAGCAAGAGATCGACATCACATTTCACAGCTTTAGTTTTTTAATTAGTTTAGTCAAAAAGTTAGCATGAATCCATTACGAGTGTTTTACAAATTATTCCGATGAATACTTACCTGTCTGTGATAGCCAAAACAGTCCTTTGATATCTGTTGATAGGTAAAATTTTGACAAATTACAGTTGCCCTCTTAGGGAATCAAGAATCTCACGAATTTGAAAAATTTCTGGTGGTTTCCCTCGTGAGACTTGATAATAATTCTTACTTTCTCGCGAGTGCTAGTGACATTTCTAATGTCGACGACTTGTGTCAAGGTAATGAACATTACGGATTTCCAGGACAGTGAAGACGAAAAATAGCCATTCAAAATGACAAGAAAAAAATGAACGATGACGAAAGCTTGGTCAGTATTGTTTTTGATATTTTTTCAAAGAGAAAATGTATACATTTTGTTGTGATTTTATGAACTATTTATTCCAGTTGTATTTATAATCCATGGAATGAAAACATCATTTATATAAAGAGAAGTATCCCAAAGTCCCAACTGGTTTACATAAATAATTAAAATTTTACCATAAAAACATACTCAACATGTTATGAAACTTGTTGAATGTAATAAAACCAAGGAAATAATCAGGAAAGTAATGATGGCCAAAAAATTTAGAATGAGTACAATCTGATCTATACCTTCTTACTCAATGTCTCTTAACTCTTTACTGTACGCCACAAAATATACTGATAACTGGATACATCATCTACCATACTAGTGACAATTTGAAATAGGTGTTAAGTATTTTTATTTGATTAGAGATTATTACATGATCTTTGTATGAGCTGATGTTATTGTAACACCTTCCTTCATGATATTGAAATCGACACTTCATTGGTCCGAGTGGAATTATGATGTTGTAAAGTGATATAAATCATTTATCATTAATAGTGCTGAAGACTCCTTTAAAATTGATATTTCTGGACAAATTTTGGATAAACATATAATATTAAACTCATGTGAAATGAAAAAACGAAGGAATGTATCAGAATCCAGGTTCTTATCAAATGTAAGTGAGATATTATTTCTCTTCTAGACCGTTTGTGGGGGAAATTAGGTTAATCTGTTGAAATTTTGAATATTTTAATCAACAATCCACCTTTTGGTGTTCAGGAGCATTCAAATATAATTATCAAATAAAAATCATGAAAAACATTGTTTTGAATTTCGGTATACTCAGCATCCTGATTTTCGTCTCTTTTTCCAATTTCAGTTGGTACTCTCATTTGACTGAACATTGCTTCTATTCAATAGAAGAATACATGAACTCTGCAATTCACTAGTCCATAGCTATACTGTTGCTGACCTGCTACTCGTGTAAGTTATTCACAGTGTAGTCAATAAAGTTTACATTACTTTACACAATATATGAAAGAGTTACAATATAGAATTAAAGGGAACACCATCATCCTAAATGGCGGACTTTAAAGTTTTGGAATAAGATACTTGTTTTATTACCTCATCAACACCGTTTTGGATAACATTACGAAATGAAGCACTCAATTCATTCATAACATTATGACTTTATGTCACGGAAGAGTTGAATCTACTCATGTCATGATGATAGTACGTAATAGACACATTTCCAGGGATTCCCAATTTTATCTGGCCATGGAACCCTAATTGAGCATATATTTTTGATGGAACCCTAGCTGGTTATTTCGATAGCTAAAGTGTTCACATACTGTTTTTTCATGTTACGACTCCAGAAAAAAAAACTATAAATGAAGTAATAATAATTTTTATTAGTTTTTTGACACGTCGATACAATTTCTAAAATAAGTTTGAGAGGATAAGATTCGTCAATACAGTTTCTAAAAAAATTCTTGTAGAAAGCTGACTAAAATGTAAAGCAATGAGTATTTTACAAATTGTAAACCACATAACTGACATATTACATCTATTTAAAGTTAAGTACAAGTTTAGGAAGTGACCACAAAAATGCTACTTTCTTCTTGAAATTGATCAATTTCATATACTGGATGTTTGGTTATTATTTTCTTCAATAAGTTTTTGAATCTTCTGAATGGCAAGTTACAAAATTTAACAGATAAGGCATTGTATAGCTTGAGTCCTTTATTATCTGTTCTTTTCAACCTATTAGCTGTAAGAAGAAGGTTTGATTTGTTTCTTGTATCGTCTTGCTATATATCCTTGTGAGCAACTTTATTCACCAAGTTCTGTTGAAAAGAAGCAGATTTTCATAATCAATAACTGAATATAGGGTCATTATTTTAAGTTTTACAAATATTGGTCCACACTTTTCATCATAATTGCCAGAGAGTAATGTATTTTTTATATAATTATAATTTTCAATTGTTAATAAAAAAATTGAAAATAACAATTTTTTTATTTTGGCAACGGTAATCTATTTTTTTGCCTACTAAGGATAACTTCACCAAAGGAAAAAAATGAGAGGGTTTTAGTTAAATAATTATAGGGATTTTTATATTAACTTTCAATTCAGATTAATTAACAAATTTATAATTAACGTTAAAATTGGGATAAAAATTTTTTGACTGCGGATTATTGTTCATTGATGTATTCCAACATTACATGAATTTTTTCATTCCTTAATATTTACATTTAATATGTTTGAATAATTTTTTTTGTTTTTATGTCAGAGTGACGTAAGGCGCGCGGAAGCCAGAGTACCCACTTTTGGCTCTATTTTCAAGGCTCTGTAAAAATTATAAATAATCGAGATACAGTTTCGGGAGTCGGGACTTTTTCTACGCAAATTCATTGATCCTTGCAAATCTTTTTTCAAATTTCCAAAATTTTAAAAATTTTCCGAGATATTAAGAAAAAAGTAAAGCCCCAATTTTTTTTCACTCAATTGTTTATAACTTTTGTAATTTTTATCGGCGCGTTTTCGGACCTCTCCTTAAACTTTCTAGGCAAAAATACGAATCGAATGACACCTTGGTCGTAATTTTTGAACAGGGCTAAAAAATGTTACAAAAATGTTACATGTGAACTAGACTATTAGGTTTTATGGATCAATTAAAATTTTATTTTTCTGACATGTTTCGGAGTTGATGATTTGCCACACAGTTTTGCTGTAATAATCATTATAATGAAACAACTATTTGATGTGAAGAATGAAATTTTTTAACATATTTTTTTATAATAGTACTAGACAGTTAGATGCGAATATCCGAAGCTGCATCAGGTCTGATTCTGTATTTATTTTTTTGTGTAAGCATAAGCTGAAAACTCATTGTTGCATCAGTGAGTCGTCACAAATAGAAGCAAAACTAAGATAGCTTTTTCAACAATTGCAAGGTATCTAGACCCCTGTGACCCTTGTAAGGAACCCCAGAGTGCTGCGGAATACCATGTAGGAATCTAGGTCTTATTCGATTCAATCTCAGCCATTGGAATCTTGTTTGAATTGAAAGGGCTATAATTTTTAGGATAAACTAGTTTTTGGCACTCAAAATATAAATGAAACAGAACACAGAGTCAGATGCTACAAATGCAATACACATATAAACAGACGGCCCAAAAACCAAAGAAGGCTCAGGATGTGGAGTGTACTCCAGATCACTAAGTCTAAGGATTAAGTGGGGAATGCGAAAAAATACCAGCGTGGTAGCGTAATCTAAAAAATACCCATTGGCTGTGCAAAAACATAGGCAACTTAGACTCGCACGCTGCATATAAA